CGGCACATAAGGCTGCCCCGTAACCCACAGCCCAGCTGAGCACAAAACGCTGCTCCCACGAGCTAAACCCCTCTCTCCTCGGTGAGCGCGAAGGCCAGGGAGGGGACGTGAAGTGGATCGGGATTGCTACTTACTGGTGCCCTCCCCAGCCGAGTGCAAGGCTGGGAGCTGGCTCTCCGGGGGGGTGGGCGGCTCCAGCACCAGGGCCTGGAGCCCAGCGGGGTCTGGGCTGGGGGTCCGAGCAGCCTGGGGACGGCTCTTGTCTTCCTTGCCTTTCTCTCTCTACAGGTGAAGAAACCCGCCCAGGGCGGTGGGGTGCAAAAAACGCATCAGCAACAAAAACCAAGATCCAATAAATGTCAACCAGAAGGAAAAAGACAAAAAATAAGGAAAAGAAATAGAAAATTGGGGAGAAAAAGATCTGAAAAACAGGGACATTCACTGGCTCATACGAAGAACAGCGGCTGCTTTTGGAGATGGGGAGGAAAGCTTTCCATGTGCAGCAAAGAGCAGATGCTGCTGGCACAGGTACTTTGGCAGAGCACAGAGCACCCGGCTCCCCACAGGAGACCCAATACAAGAGTGGCACATGAACCAGCGTTCAGCCTGGAGAGCTGTGGACTATGTGTCCAAATCTGGATCTTTCATGTTGCAGAGCAAGGAGGGGACTGAGGACATGGGAAAGGTTGGGGAAGGGGCAGCGGAGCCGCCCAGAGCCGCTCTACGTGGAGGGCTGATGGGGCTCAACTGTGTCCTGTCCCCTCCCTGTGAATAGAGCATCCCACCTCAGAGCAGCACGGCCTGAGGATGGTCCCTGGTGCTAAGGTGAGAATGGGAATGGCCTGGACAAGGGAAGCAATCTGCAGCAGCATCTGAACTCAAGTTACACCAACAACCTCCTCCACATGTGGATTTAGGCAGGGTATGGGCAACTGCCACGCAGGAAGGCTGAGGCAGGTGATGCCGCTGCTGGATCACACCCTTGCAAATAAATTCCCCCTCCAAAGGGCAAGTTCTTCAAACTATGGCCCAGTGAATGTGCCAGGATATGAAAGAATCATCACTGTAATCATAAAAACGATGAAAATGGGCTTAGTGAAGCACAGGGCAGTCTGATGCGTAGCAGCAGCGAGAGAAGGGTAAGGAAGTCAAACGATCCCCTCAGAGGCCAGCGCACCGCTGGGAGATGAAGAGCTGGGAGGTGCACAGAGAAAACGTGGCCAAAATACAGGAGCCGAGACAGAACTTTCCCCTCCCATTGAGAAAAAAAGTTTGAAAAACAAGCAAGATAAAAACTACTTTTCTCTGGAGAAATTCAACCATGCGTGTCACCAGACTGGAGTCTCAACTCTCTGCTTACCTGATCTCCCTGCTCCCCTGCCTTCAAGGGACTTGGCTGTCCTTGAAGCAAGGTTGTGGAAGTGTTTTAAATAGCTAAGACTTACTGTGAAGTAACCATCAAAGCCTCCGGCAGGACCAGCTCACCCCAAGTTCAGTATTTCACCTGACCCGATTGGCTTTTGTCTTTCAATATAAATCCCCCCAAACACGCACTCTACACGGAGTCCTCGGTCAGCCTCAGCTGAGAGACTGAGACTTGAAGTAGGAAGAGATCACCTTTCTTCTGAAGTGACGGCCTACTGCAAAGTCACCTTTTCTAAATAAAGCTAAGCCTTTAATGCTCCACTTTCACTGGGGAACCAACACCTATGCAGCACCCTGAGCTGCCAGCTTTGTGCCACGCCGCTGAGAGTAATCGGCAACGCAGAGTGCAAAAGCAGTTGCTGAAGGTGGCACCCCTTAATGTGAAAGGTTTGAGACACAAACGTTTCTGCACAAACTTCAGAGAACAGAAAGAGCAGGAAACCACAGTAGAGGATATCACTTACATTCATGCTCATTCAAGTGGCCATGGGCCAGGAAGAGGACAGAGACTGCCATCCTCGCAGCTCTGCCACAGCTGTGCTCCAGCAAATGTCCTCGAGGTTGGCAAATGCAGCCCAGGAGCTCTCGGCTCTGCCTGCCTGCAGCAAGCCGCGGGCAGGAAGATGAGCCGGCTGTTTGGGCAATGGCTGAGCGGCCCGTCCCTGGGCAGGGCGCTTTTTGTCCTCTGAAGGACAAGTGTGCACAGACCACCCCACGTTAGAACATGGGCAGCAAATCGTTTCAAGCACTGGGGAAGAAGTGCTGCCTGGTAAGCAGAGACGAGAGGCCATGAGGCCTAAAGATGAGCTGGGTGAGCAGGACCTTCTCCAAGTCCAGACTTCAACCACTCTCTGCTTGCGTGCCTGCTCACAGGGTGGACAGACACTTGCAGCAGAACAGCATGCCTGCTCTTAACCCGGTGCCCCTTTACCTTTTTATTTCCTCCTCCAGGGACGTGGCTGATGTTATCTAAGGACCCAATTTTCGATTGCACCTTATCTTTGAAGTCCAGTTTCTCAGATTTCACCTCCACCTGGCCACCACCTGGAAGAGAAGAGCACGAGCGGGGTTAGCTCCTGTGCCAGCCAGGGCAAGCTGCAGAGAAAGTGCTCAGGTCTGAGCTGCCGCTCCGAGGTGGCTCAACCAAGCACTGCTGAGGCTGAGCAGAGGGTGAGGACCAGGAAAACAGCAGCAAGAGGGACCCCATGGTGATTTGGGAAACCCAGGAGCCAGGGCAAGTGGAAACCAGGGTAAAGAGACTTTCCAAAGGGTGCTGCAGAGCTGACAGACATCCCAATGTTTTATAGAGCCAAGGGAAGGGAGCTAACCTTATTCCCCTAAACACCAGTTCCCCTATTTATTCCTGAATACTTCCTATTTACAGCGATGTATTGGCACAGACAAGGGTGTCCACGGACCAAATCCCTCCCCTACTACCGAATGGTCAGGCAGACTGGAGAGGGTCTTGCAGTGACAGAGCTGGTAACAGCATCCAGCACCCCAGGGCTCACCCTGATGCTCCAGTCACTATCCCACGTGCCTCCCCTCGCTCCCTGCACTATCCCAATGCTCTCCCCATCTCCGGCTGCACACCACGATGCAGCCTGTGAGCTCCCAAGGACCAGCACTCAGTGCTGCTGGATGCTGTGGAGTCAAAGGGTACCTGGTTTGTGATGGATGTTGCCCAGGGAACCACATTTGGATGTCACGTGGCTCAGGTCGACTGGCTTGTAAACGATTTGAACCTGTCCGTACGAGAAAGGAAAAGGCGATGAGCTTATTGCCACCAGGGCAACCTGGGGAGGGGGAGGCACAACACACACCGGCACCTGATCTGGATTCAAGGGAAAGGACAGCTTAAACCCCAGTAAGGTTAATAATACAAAAGAAACTGTCATCAGAAATGGGAGATCATTAATGCCCGTGTGCAGTAGCCTCTCTTAACATGTCAGCATGCACAAGATCACCTCTTCATAGAGAGAGGAAGTAGAGGCAATTTTAGAGTGCTTAAGTGAGAGAGAAAGTGAAGTGGTAATTAATTTAAGATTTGCATACACATCATCCAAAAAGAGGAGATATACCAGAGAGAAAACGTAAAAAATAAATACCTTTTCTGGTGTAAAACATAAAGCTTATGTCCACAAAAACTGAAAGAACAGAAATGATCAATGTGCACAGAACTTTAAAAAGAGTGACCAAAATATGCATTTCTGAAAAATGCTGTAAGGGAAATAAGGATTAAAAAAAAAAAGCAAAGCAAAGTCTAAATATCTGGCAGGATTTCATATAATATAAATTAAAATGGCAATTATAATATATTAAACCACAATATTATTTCATGATATTATGCTCTGTTTTTTATTTGTTTTACCCATTACATGGGCTCCAGCAATTCCACTTAAACCGCCCCATTCAAAGACCGGCCACGGCACTGTGGCGTGCCTGGGCGTGGGGCCGGCGGCCTCTTGCGCACGGACAACCGGGTTACACGAGACGCACACACAAGGAACGGTTAACGTGGAGCTATTTAGTGGTTATGTTAGCGGTTAAACACCACACTGGAAAACACCAATGACTGGAGAGGTCTGGGACCATCAGACTTGTCAGGGACAGCAAACCACAGCACATACACACCAGCTACATCAGGAGACAAGGGGGTGAGAAAACATCCCCATACCACCAGAAGTTACCTTGGACCCTGGTTTCAGACTCACACCTGTGTGTGAATCAGCTATTGCTGTAGTTAGTGGCGCTGTGCAGGAGGAATCGGATCATCAACACCTCAAGGCTGGTTCCTACTCACTGGCTCTCAGTAATAGCCTGGATTTCAAGGCAAGCGTGTGCTGCTCTCTGTGTTTTCACCAAGCACCACGGCAGGCATGCTGCTCTCATAAATCTCGGGAACGATGTGCCAGCACCAAAGGGACCTTTGCAGAGGAGCTGACTCCTCCAAGCAGCCAGGCAGCCTCTGGACCAATGTGGCCGAAAGCCAGCACAAAGGATTCACAGTAGCCACTGCTCTCCATCAACCTGAGTGCCCTGTGCTGACTCAAAAACCCTGGGGTGACGGTGCAGCCTTCAGTTCCTTCATGTTGGCCCCATGTCCACCGGCCCCATCACCCTCAGAGCTAGGTGTTGGACCGTGGTTGTGCACACCACTGCAAAACACTCCCCCCTCCATCACGCAGCCAGGAAAACGTGGCGGGAACAGAGGCTCGGTGCCACTGTCCCACCGGCACAGAGCCAGAGCACCGTGCACACGGGGCTGCCTTGTCTCCGATGCTCATGCATACCAAAAGGCACGTTTGACAGAGAGTGGAGACAGATAGAGGGGACAAAAGCAACCCTAGGGTCTGGGAGCACATCGCAGACACAGACAGGAAGACAGGGTTGGGGAAAGATCACACGTTTAATGCACTGGGCAGGAGGAGAGCTAGATTCAGTCGGAAGGCAGGAAACAGACCCCAAAAGGACAGCTGGCGCCTTTCTAATCCCAGCCATAACCCCGAAGGGCCTATGAGCAATTCGGGCACCACTGGAACCTGGGACTGAAAGACCTCCCATTTCCAGAGCAAGCAATCAGCAATTGAAACACTTTCTGCTCTCATTCCAGTTCCCTTTTTTTACAGACAGGACTCCATTAACCCTTACCATCCTGCTGGGGAACAGAGAAAGGTCCTCCCCATTTTAGCAAGAAAGGAAAAAGGGCACAGAGCTGCTTGTCTGGGAAACCAGTGCCAGAGACCTGGGGATCACACCTCTCAGCATCAGCAATGCTTACGTCAACTTTTGCCTAATGCATCCCCTTGTCAGAGCATCCACTGGCTTAAAAAACAGATACCAACCCCAGGTTACTGTAGCAACAGTTCATTCCTCTTGAAGCAGCAACGGCTGGGCAGGCAGTCACTGCTGACAGCGTCGTGGAGGATTAAGACACGACGTCCATCAAACCCCCGTGGTCTCTTGTTGCCCCTCTATCGGAGGAGCCCCAAGGCACAGCCTGTGCAGCCACGCTCTGGCCACGTCAGCACATGACTTTGCTCCGAGGGCCCGCACCCAGAGCTAAGCTGCTGTTTTCCGTGTCAATGCAGCCGGCAGCGATCACACGATTTTCACTGCTGGCAGAGCCTAGGGAGGGATGACAACCTCCAGCCAAAAATCCAGATAATTCTTAACCCATTGCAGCCGCTGCAGCTGCGAATGCTTGCACATAGTGTGAGCTCTCAGTGGAGAAAAGGATCAGCTCACCACCCTGTGCTGAAGCTAATTACCAGCCACAGCACAGATAATTCGTGACAAACACTAACTCCTGGCATAACAAGTGGTCCTCCATGCGCCAGGCAGTCCAGCCAGTGCAGGACCCTGGGGTAAGAAAGAGCAGAACAAGCATGGAACCTGCTTCACAGAGGTCTGATCTCTGCAAAGCAGCTCCCCTGGCCTGTTAAATAAATGCAGAATGACATCAAATTTAAGAAGGAGGTTGCAAACCCAGTTATGTCCCAATGCTTACGTGCCAAGCTTCTGCAACACTCTGTTTCTCTGGGAGGGCGTCCACAGAGATCAAGAACAGCACAAAGAAAATCCATCGGCAACATCTGAGGGGCACCAGATAGCTCCCTCAGATGGCTGCAGACCAGGCAACCACAGACCCTGGGTTGCACTGTTTGGGGTCTCAGTGATGCTCCTTCCTTGGTCTGTCATCCTTCCTGGACCCAAACTCTGTCTCCAGAGAGACTGGTGTAAATCCACCAACCTCTGTGGAGTTTCTCCAGGTTTCTGGCACAGTAACTGAAAGCTGCGTCCGGCTATTCAGCTGGCAATGGCTGGAAATGCCAGCATTCAAATCAATTAACTCAGTATTACTTTAGGCTCAGCCTCCACGGGCGTTGCCTAACATACACTGGGCATATTCATCAGCAAGCAGAAGCTGAATATTTGCATGGATCATACTTGCCTGATGGGAATGGGTGGGAACCTGCACTTTCACACATTGTGCAGAGTCATGTGCAATTTAGCAGTACATTAAGCAACGAGGACTGCATTTGCTTATAAATCTATCCGTCTACTGCATCAGCAACTACGTCACTGTCTGCTAGAGGCCACCCATCCTGCAGACAATGAGGCATTAAGCCTTCCAGGTAATGTAAAACCTTTGAGTTAACGGGATGTTTTGTTACAGACATGGTTTCTACATGGGTCAGTTAGTTCTGTGCATGTCAGGCATGTACAGGACTTGTTAGGGTTCATCTACCATGTCTTTTGGGTTAATGGAGTTAAATGACAGCATGTCACCAATGGCTATCTGACGGCAGGGTCGCTGCAGATAGCATTGGCGATTTGGTGTATACAACATGCCACTAATAATGAGGATTATTACAGTGCATTCAAAGTGTGAAGGTACTCACACTGCCTCCTCCCGGGATGTGTTTGATATTATCCTTTGAGCCACACCTGGATTGAACGCTGCTAAAGTCCAACTTCTTATTAACAATCTGCACCTTTGGTAGCCAGAAAAGAGTCATTGCACGTCACCAATAGCTATCTGACGGCAGGGTCGCTGCAGATAGCATTGGCGGTTTAGTGTATACAACATGCCACTTATAATAAGAATTATTATAGTGCATTGAAAGTGTGAAGGTACTCACACTGCCTCCTCCTGGGATGTGTTTGATATTATCCTTTGAGCCACACTTGGATTGAACGCTGCTAAAGTCCAGCTTCTTATTAATAATCTGCACCTTTGGTAGCCAGAAAAGAGTGTGAGAAACAACATGACCATCTGCAGCTTGACCATGCGTTATATCACTGAAACCAGGAACCTGCCTTCCAGTGCCAAAAGCAAAGGAGAATCTCTGGCTTGCTGCATAGATTTGTCTACTCACGGGTTGGAAACTGAAGATGGAGGTGGGCAGGTTATAGCTAGAGATTGGATATGTCTGGCTAGCAAGGCAGCCCTGGTTTCCAGGGCAGAAACACTAGCAAAAAAGCCAGCTCATCCCATTTTCTTTCACTGAACAGAACAGGGAACTTGCTGGGCAGCAAACAAGCTGGAAGGCACCAGTGGTCTGAAACTCAGCTTCTGCAGAGCCAGTGGAAAAAGGAAGGACGGAGCTGAGAGAAAAATGCCTGCTCAGCCCCATCTCCGATGCTGGGCAGCATGCCCCCTCTATAGGACAGAGATATGTGGCCTCGCATTTCAGCAGCTTCAGCAAACTGGGCAAATGGGTGCAGCTGGCTGGGGCAGCAGGCTGGAGAGTAGGAATTGTGTGTCCAGCACTGTCTGGGAGAGGACACCCAAGCTCTGCGCTGTGCCGGGCTCAAACTCCCTCTACAGTTACAAAGAGAAAAAGCAAATGCTGCCAGGGATGCACTCCCATGCCTGCAGTTTTCTTAACTCTTGTATAGATGAGATGAAAAGGGCAGCACAGACCAACCCCAAAGACAGCTGCTCTATTGCATATTCCTAACGCCATTTCGGGTGGGAGAGAGGCTGGAAATGGCTTGGTGCCACAGGGGAACCACATACCATGCTAACTTCACCCTCCAGTCCCAAGGCCTGTCTGCCCTCTCTGCACACACAGAGATTTTTGTACTAATTAATTAAGCTGTTTCCCTTTAGGGCTTGTTTTCCCTATTCGGGTTTTATAAGGGCAGCTATGCTGGAGTGACCCCATGCATAGGAGCAGCTATTCCAGACAAGACAAAGATGAAGATAGTCCCTGCTCCTTCCCCTACATGGACTGGAGTCGCTTTACAACCTACGCAACTATAAACCAGAGGTAAATGCATGTAAAAACCAGCAGGCACACAGGCCTGTGCTCCCTCAGGAGAAAGCCTGTCTGAAGCACAACCCTCATGAGAGGAAAAGAGACACAGCATCCTGCAAGAAAGCAGCGTCACATCACGCTGCACATGCAGTCCCTGGATGACAACATCCACGAAGCTGGCTGAGCAGGCAACCTCGCTGTCCGTTTCAGCATGTCCCCAGCCTCCTGCTGCAAGGAGAGCTCCTCGCTCTACCCTGGTTCTTTAGCACGAGAAGCACCAAGGCTAACACGTGCCTCCAGCGTCATTTTCCAAGCTCACATCAACTAATCCTGCAAATCAGGATCCAGTTCTGCTAGACCAGGCTTTGCCAGAGCAGTACTCAGCGATCCAGCAACAACAGAAGTGCTCAGTCCATGCAGAAATACTGGAAGAGATCTGGCCTGGCTGACTCCTGGCGCGTGTGCCCCACGTACCTTTGCTTCCCTAGGCTGGGGGTCTGAAATCTGCACGGAGAGCAGGCTCCAGACTCATCTTCTGGCCACCCTAAAACCAAACTTGTTGGATCAGCCTCTTCTGCCCCAGCCACAACCATTCTGCTAAGAGCAGCCTTGTATCCTACAAAACCCCCAACAGAGCATCCAGCCATTCTCCCCTGCAAAGAGCAATGAATTGTCCCAAATTCAGCTGTTCTTACTCTTTCAGTGACAACAATAAACAACATGTTGCCTGAGAGAGAAGCTGACAGAGAAAAAAAACTTGTAAAAGCTGGATTAAAAAGAACAAGCAAACAATTTAACCAATTTACAGTAAATGGAAGGGTTCCTTCTAAAATCCCTGAAAAGCAGTGTTTTGTGGGGGTGGCAGGAAAAACTTAAGACCTTGTGCTAAGCAGGCAGGAGGGCTGAGGCCCCGGGACACGGGCAGCTGGAAGGACACATGTTGTTCTGCTCATGACCAATGGCCAGAGCAGCCCTGCCCAGGCTCCAGAGCCCGCCCGGATTGTAGTACAAAGCAAAATGTGCATTGTCCAGTAAAAAGCCAGCCACGGCAAAAAACGCACATAAGGAAACGGAAAAGCACGCTGCTGTTTAAGGTGGTGAAGAGAAGCCATCTCAAAGCCTCCCCCCATGCCAAAGTCAAACATTCAGAGCCACGGAGTTACCTAGTCACACAAAATGGCATGCACCACACTCAGGGAAGATTTGTCACGGCTCTGTTGCATTAGCAGCCGCAGAGCAGTGTCTGCAAGGCAGTATTCCCCCCTGGGGCAGGCAAGCACAAGCACGTGGGGACTCCTGACTGCACTGGCCATCAGATGTGCTGTTCTGTCATTTAACATCTGTGTAAGAGCCACCGGGCCTTCACCAGTCAGAGGAACCAGGTGCTTTCGTGTTTCCACCCATGCAGCAAGGAGGATTTTATAAAAGCCTCAGGACACATCCACACAGGGCAACGGAGCAGTGCAGTGGGTGCTGACCAGCCAACACCACAGCTGGAGCCGTGTAACCACACACTGCTACTCGTGGGGCTGCACGGATGAATTATCTCACACCACTCCCTCACCCAAACTCTCCTCTGCTGGGCTTGCAAAATTAAACACGAGACCCTCGTTCCCAATCACTTGGAGTACAGAGTTCACTTTGCTGCTCATGAAACAGCCTCTATGGGAGTGAAAAGTACTAGGGGTTGAAAGGATAATAGTGCCACCAGTTCTGGCCATGCCACACTGCACCATGTAGCAAGACAGTGCCTGATCGCAGAACGCAATCCAAAACCTTGCCAACATCCAAAATCACAATGTTCTGAAAAACGTGCCAAGCCTGGGACCCTCGCAGGGAGGAGACCATCCTGTCTGCTCGCTAATGAAGAAATGGAGGCAGCGTTGAAGGGACTGCTCCAGATCACACTCCATGCGTCAGCATAGAATTCAGAAACACAACCCTGATCCTGCGACTCGTTAGGGCTGCAGGTCACAATTGGCTCTCCCTAACTGGACACCACAAGGGAATGTCACTCCCCTGGCAGCCAGTCCATACATTGACGTGCCACCCCATGAAAGCCACATCACAAGCTCTCTGCAATCCTTTCTGCGGGACAGCTGTACTGCACTAAGCCAGGCAAGCAATTTCAGGACAAGCATCCAACCCAATCAGCCCAAAAAACTCCAATATCAGAATCAGGCTGGAGATCAGCTGAAGCATGGCTGCTCACTGCTGTATCTCTGGCCTCAGCTGGGCTGCTGCTGATCCAGGGAGGGCTCTCCCCTCCCAGATGCAGCATCAAGCACCCGCTGTCTGTACAGGCAGGCCCCTGGAAAGCAGAGTCCACATTTACCTTGCCACCTCCGGGCTGGTGCTTCAGGTTTTCAGTTGAGCCAATTTTGGATTTCACATTTTTCAGATCAGGCATGGGTGCAGCTGACGGCTGGATGCGGCTCTTGGCAGATGCAGGAGATTTCGGTGGTGTGCGAACCACTGCCACCTTCTTGGGCTCCCTGGCTGGTGGGGTGGGCAGAGAGGGAGTGCGGGAACGGCTGCCTGGAGTCCCGGGGGAACCGGGACTGCTGTAACCGCTTCTGTCTCCAGACTTTGGCTGCTCACCTGAAGTTTGCAGAGGAAGGCAAGCACAGGATAAGCAATCGGGTATGTAACCCCTTCCCCACACACTGCCTGCCTTTATGGCGTTGATCTGCCTGGTCCCAGGGCCCACCCGCTACTCCTAGTGCAGACCATCAGCAGGGGGGAGACGGCTGCACTTTCTTCTACTTTAGTTTGAAGTGGAAACTGTGATTAAAGGGAATTTCCGAGTATCTCAGAAGGAAGATGGTCTTCATTGTCTGGATCATTGGTAAGACTCCCCACCCGAGCGTGACATTAGCATGCATGACAAATTACAGACAAAAGACACTCAAACAAAACCACTCTTCTGTTAGAAATTTGGAAGCATTTTTACAAAATTATTTTATGTAATGAAATAAGGCTGATCACTGAGCAGCTTACAACTAAAAGAAATGGAAGAAGAAAAGAAAACCCTTAAACATCACCTTTCTCAGACTTTGCTGCTGCAGGAGGTGGTTTTTTCTGCTCCTTTCTGCCTGTTTAATGAATGAGAAAGATGCTTAAACATAATAAAGCTGGGAATTTAATTGATTTAAGATTTTATGCAGCTCTGGTTAAGTATGAAAAATATATATATTCAGTGAAATGCACCGTTTTAATGGAAATTCACAATGCCTGATGCTTTCTGGGGTTTTCTTCTCTGAGAATAACAGGCTAATCTCCATTCCTGCAATCGAAGAATTGATCCTCTTGCCCCTGGTCTTTGTAAAATATTGTCAAGAGAAAAGGAATAGATGGATTAAAAAAACCAGAGCTGCCTAAATCTTCCAAATTGGAGGAAATCCCAAAGGGATAAAGCAACTGCCCTCTCCTACACACTGGCAACTATATGAACAGAGCAGATAAAGCAGCATCCAGAAAGGCTCGCTTCAGAGGAATCGTCCCTAGCTCTGCACCCACAGGCCCGTGACAAGCCTGAGCAGCTCCGAATCACCACGCAGGCCTCAGCCTGCTGGCCGTGCCCTTGCTTAGCACTGTGCATGACCCCAGCCTGCACTGGGGCAAATTTGTTCACTACCCCCGCATAATTGCATGGAGAGCCTGGGAGCACCACTAAAGCAGAGTCTCTAGAGTCAGAAACACCATGGGAAGGTGGCTGCACACCGTTCTCGCCATCACCTACCAGAGCTGGGAGGTGTCTTGGGGGCCGTGGATGTCTTTGCTGGGATGCGTGTGGCATTGGTCGAGTTCCTCTGAGCCTGCCCGGCTGCAGACCGCGGCGTGGCCGTCTTCGTGCCACCTCTCATCTCCGGGCCCTGGGGATGCAAGGGGGAAAGGCTGATGCAGGGGGGATCTGCCTGGCATGGGCTATCACCCCTCATGGATCAGAGCCACACGAGACCCTCCAGCTTCCTACCCTGACAGCCCACAGGAGCTCCCACATGTTTCCCCACATGCAGGCATCTGCAACGTGCCTGTTCACACCCCGTTTCCCATCACAGTCACTCCTAGGCTGGCAGAGTGGCTGCGCCCCTTTCCCATGTGAGCCCTTAGCTTCAGCTACATTATTCGCTGCACACTCGGGCCTGGTTAAAAAGTATGTTAAACTCCTTTGTCTGTTCTCCAACTTTCATCGTTTTGTTTCCCCTGACCTGCTAAAATTTTGTACAGAAGACAAATAAATCCATTGACTAGACCAGAGGCTCCATACAGGAGTACAGTGCCAAACTCCAAACACAGAGAAGCACCTCCTTTATCCCCACCTGTAATACACTACTGTAACATGTACATAATCTGTAATGGCATGTAAATAGCAATACGTTATTTATTAGCATGTCTTCTGATCCTGCAGAAAAGCCTCCCCAAATCTATAAACTAACACATCCTCTTTCTGATGACTTTCTAATGCTGGTCTGTGTACAAACCTCATGAAAAACATGCAAGTGAAAATTCACAAGCTGACTGGTCCCAAGGCAGCAGGGAACCAGAACAGAGCCATCACAATCCCCATCATGGTAAAACCATATCCCATTGTTTCTTTCCCTCACCACGGATGTATTTGTATGACTAAACACCACAAAGGGAAACTCCAAGCTACTTTCTGCGTTGCAGAATAAGGATGTGCGTGCATTTCCTATTCTCTGTGTAGCACCTGGCAGATCTGGCTCCGGCACATTTCAAATACATCTGCTGTTTACAGCCAATGCACCCATAAAACACAGCATAAAGCTGCAAAACAAAGAAGAGCATGAAAGAGCATAAAGGGATCTGGAAATGCCTCAGGGAGACCAGGTAACACCCTGCAGCAATGAGATATTTTTGCTGTAACGCAGAGCAAGGGACCTATGTGCTGGTGAGACAGACTCGGTGCTTCGAACACCAAAACTGGAGCCAAGTCTGGCCATGGCCACTGGAAGGTGAAGGGGAAGCACATCCCACCCTCTCCACTGAATGGGACACGGAGAGACTGCCCAGCCAAGCACTGTCAGACTTGTCAGGAACGCTTTAAGGTATTGCCCTAGGCAGCTTTGCCTCTCTCACATCCCATTTCCTTACCTTGGCTTTCGTTTCTTGCGCTCCTGTACTGGCAGGTCGGGATGTGACAGAAGAGACTCTTTTAGAGGTGGAAGCAGGGCTTGAGGGTGTTTTCGAAGGGGTTGTGCTAGAGGAGGTGTGTCGTTGGGGGGGGGTGGAGGGTCTATCGCCTGGGGGTTTGGCAGTGGAAGGTGAGGATTTCTTAAATATGAAAACAATAAAATTGGAACAAAAAAAATCAGTATGGGAGGGAAACAAAAGGGGATCACTGACATTAAATAGGATTAGAAGGTGCAATACATATCTGGGTGTGGGACAGGCGACGGCTGGTACTGCCCTCTCGCTGCAGCACAGAGCTGGGCAAGAGCTGCGGGGCCCAGGGCACTGCTGGAGTTCCACGGCTGCACCGGCAAGCATGGGATACCTCAGCCCTATTCTTCCCACAGGGTGCAGCAACACCCAAGCCCCTTTCTGGGGAAAGTGTCACCCCATGACAGCCTGCCCTTGCCACCGCCCTCCACACCGGTGGCACGTTTTACTATCTGAACTGCTCTATTTACTCCCAAACTCTCCATGTGCTCCGCTGGCAAAGGTACAGCGCTATCAACACCAGCATTTCTGGGAGATGCAGATGACTGCTCCCAGGTCTCTCAACCGCATCATACCTGCTTTGTCAATAATGGATCGATGGTTTTTATCTAGACAACTGCTTGGTGTCATGGCAAATGCCCATCCTGACACAACCCTGCCAAACCTCACTAGAGAAAGACCCAATTTCCCACTGAAAATAATTATATTCCTCACCTTTAATTCTTCACCCACTAAATTGCCCATCAGCTTGTCCATTATCTCACCAGGCACTAGCCAGGATAATGGCCAGCTGAACTAAACCTCCTCCAAATTAGCAGTGTGACAGATACCTTTAAACCCACTATTAAACTCTGTTCCTCACCCAGAACACTGCATCTGCAAGGCCTAGATTATTTAATTTCATTTTTTAATTACATGTCTTGCTCTTTTCACTGCATTGTCCACAATACAGTCCAATGCAGTTTTGAGTTTGCTTTTGCATGGGTTTGCCCCAGCAAAGCCAGCCAGCTGCTTTCCGGTCTCAGGCTGAGAAAATGATTTCTCTAACCACCCACCCAACCCCACGAGCCACATGTTTGTTTTAGATTTGGTTTGATTCCTCGCCCTCAAAGATCACCATGAATTGCACCATCCAAACCGGGGTGAGGGAAGGAAAAATAAAAACACTCTTGAAAGACAGACAGAAGAATGGAAGATAATGGCAAGGTTTCCTAAGAGGCACAACGGCAGTCCAGGAGAGCAGGAGAGGGAGTCAGGAACATGCACAGTACTTAGTGGGCTGACGTCACCTCAGGTTTTATTTTTTAGCTTACCTTCGGTTTCTTTTCCTCAGCTTCAGTTCCTTCCTTGTCTTTGCTGTCAATACGACCTGACAAATGGAAACACACACAGTTACACTTCTTCGGACTGGTCATTAAACTCTAGAGAGATGATAATGCCTGTGCTACAGCAACATGCAGGCTAGGTGGGTGTTCCATGTTCCTGCTCTCCTTTAAATTAAATACTCTCCTTAGAAAGATTACAAAGTCACTCGTTTCTTGCAGAAATACTTCCACATCATAAACACATTCTTTCTAGGTTAACATACTATCCTGTGCATAGGCAGCAGTGCATTAGTCATCACTGGAGCATCAGACACACGCAACAAGGTCTGTATGACACCATTTTGCCCAGATTTGCACTTGGTTCCAGTAGCATCTGTTCAGTTTAGGACAGAACGGTTCTCTTCAACCCTAAACATGAGTCTCCCTCTCTAAAACACCCTCTGGTTCTAACAATCATATATATAAAGACTAAAATTGAAGGATGCCCCAATCCTAGCAGCACCAGGTTGCCCATGATCTCATTTAAAGTTGTTGTTCAGTGTGTTAGCTTTGCAAAGCATTTTTATACCTGGCCATTGTTACTTCCCATCTCTCCCGCCTTCTGCCTCCCCAGCAGACAGTGCGCCTTTGATCTGGGTCAGACCCTGCAGGGTCTTAAGGTTTTAGCTGTTGTCCTACTTGATTCGTATCAAGCTTACAGTGACTCTGGCGATATTTCAGTGTTTTGTCCCATTAGCCTACAAGCACAACAGACTGCAGTATTGCTAATTAGGAGATTAGAAACAAGGAGGAAGTAATGTTTGTACTATAAGGCACTCATAACAAAGACCCTTTTCCCAGTCTTCAGCTAATTCCTCCCTAATCTAGGAGAAAAAGCTGCTGATACTCTCCCCAGTGTTTTGGAAACTTGCCCTGGGGGGTCAGCCCTTTCCCAGTGACATGAACAATGTTGTTAATCCAGCACTGACCCATCCCAGCAGCCACTCCCAGAGCTGCTGGATGCACTACCCTTCCCAAATTCAGTTAAACTACAGACTGGAGCAAGGCTGGAGCTGAACAGCCACAAAGCATCTCTGTCTTTGAAGGGAAAGACCATTAAATAATTAAAGAAATGCCTCCTATTGAATCAGAAACTGGTTGACTCTGGGCAATGCATCCCCAACCCGCCATCATTTTCAGGCTCCGATGCTAGCGATAGCAAGCCATGCCAATGCCCTGCAGCACATGTGCAAAGCTTCCCGCTGGCTTATTAGGTAGTGAACAACGAGAAATATGTTATGAGCTTTAGCTCCAATGGAAAAAGCTACATCAACAATTTCTTCATGAACCCCGCGCAGCAAAGAGCACACTCTCTCTGCCGCAAACCAGAGCAGCATTTCCAGGCTAATGGAAGCAGCCAAGCCAGCTTTTGGGATGCGGCACTGGGGTGAAAGGCAGAGCTCCCCCCCAGGCCAGGCCTTGGACAGCCAGAGCTGAGGAACTACACGGTGAGACACCGTTGGGTTTTAAGGCATGTCCTGCTGCCCCAGTTTATTAACACAATTCAGTGCTAAACCTGCATTGTGACATCCCTCTGACCCCCAGTAAAGGTGGAAAATAGCTTTTGGAGAAAAAAAAGGTCTAAGAGCTGCTCTGCTGGCAGGGATGCTCGTGTATTGAGCAGTGAACTCAGACCTTCACCCAAGACAGCTAAGACTGAGATTGCTGCATGAACACAATAGCTCCAGGGTCTCACTGCCCTCCCAGCCTAGCGATGCACACGCTGTTAGATGCGCTCAAGAGCCAGGCCTCCACACACACAGGCAGCTCCTGCAGAATACCCCAAATACAGCCATCGCGTTGGACCACCCAGGGACATGCCGTCCAGAATTGGGATTGGAGCAGGATGCTTTGTAAGAGCATCGGACGTGCCCTGTAGTGGGCAAAGGTCCAGCTAGCTGCAGACCTTGCCTCCAACAGCAGTCAGTAGTGGATATTTAAGGGAAAAGTACAAGAAACAGGACCAATGTGGGGCCTTTTCCATGGTTAGACCTGCCATCTCACTTGCCTTTTTCCTCCTCCCTCCTCTTTAGGAAAGCCAATACAAAGAGTTATTGGACCAGACAGTGGACACATGCAAACCAGATGGCATGTATCTTGCTGGAACAAGCTGCAGTGTGCGCCGGGTTAGCCCCGCTCTAACATGCGAGAACCACGTCCATCCGCTCTTCGTCTTCTCAGGGAAGGTGCCAGGTGTGAGTTAAGGTGCCCACCCCACAGATCCAAGGAAATCAAAACAAAAACAGGTGAACAAAGCATGATCAGGGACACGCCAGCATCATGCAAGGGACGCAAAACCGAAGCGTAAGGGTCTGGCAAGTATTCCAGGACATCCAGGATTAAATTAAAGAGGGAAGGAGGGGGAGGGAGAAGCAGTGGCGCTCTGTAGATCAGTTCACAGCAAAGGTCCAGGCCATTTCCCAAGCAGCAGGATTCAAGAGGTGGCAGCAAGCTGAAGTACTGGTTCAGGCAGCCTTGTCGTGAGCAAGCCACCGGCAATGTGAGCTCAGGGCAGGCAAATGTTGCACACACCTTTTAGGAGAGGGACACGACTGATGGCTTTATCTTCAACATGGGCACAAGGTTTCTTCTTGGGCGTCCGGCGTTCTCCTGTATCTGGCACAGCCTCTTCCAAAGGAGCATATCTGCCTTCCACATCATCTTTTGACTGAAAGGGGAGTTTGGCTGTTTCTAGCAAGGGTCCAGAATCTTCTCCCTCCCCAGGCTCCGCTTCTTTTTGGGAGATGATTTCAGAAGGCTCTGATGGGGTGACATTTGTGTCTTCTTCCCCCCTCAATGGCTGTCTCCTCTCCTCTTGGTCCTCTCCTGCTTTATGTGATTGAGTTTCAACAAGAAGTTCCTCACTTGATATGTCTTTGAGGACATCTTTGGACTTGTTTTCTTCAAAGGCATATTCTCCAAGAGCTTCCTTGGGTGTTGCTGGACTCAAGCCCATTTTAGGTCCTAGTGAAACATGCTGTCCCACCAGGGAAAGCAAATCCTGTTCCGAAGTTTCATCAATATCACGGTCCTCATCTCTTTCCTGTCTACTGGCATCTTCTTTTAATGGAGCTCTGGTATATAAAGGAGATGGCCCATCTTTAATATGGGAGTCACGTGTGCCACCTGCTCCTGCCAACCCCTCAGTGCGCACATCACGACCTAGCTCTGTTCCCAGTGCTGGATCCGCACCAATGCCTTCTCTGCCTCGATGATCCCACAACCCATTGTTGTCTTCAGATGCTCTGGAGTCTTGGTACATATCCAGGGGTATTGGGATGGTGACCTCAATTCTGGTAGGAGCTGCTGTTGTAGCCTTCGTTTCATGCAACAGAAGAGGCTGCTGAAGAACCCCAGCTACCTGCTTTGTGGGCTGGCTTTCTCTTTTTATTGCATCTCCCACATGCTCCTGAGGGCCAGGCTGTAGCTTTGGAGAGCTTGGCTCCCCTGAAGTTGAAGACACAGGGTACGAAGCATGGGCAAACAATTAGCACAGGCATGTCAAATAGGTAGTCAGTCATGTAATGCTGAAGAGAGACTAAGGATTTCTACTATCAACCTAGAGGAGAAAAGCAAGTCCCACACTGCCCCATTGAACAGACAACTTACTTCTACAGTGGCTTTTGCCTTTAAAGAAACTCTGATCCCCATGGGAATCAGGAACAGTGACAGCCACAGCGGGTGGGAGACCAGACTCCTCCCTGGACCCCGTCTCGGAGGTTGCTGGGGTATCCCAGGCATGTGCCATAAAGACCGACATCTGCCACACCCACGCTCTATGAGCTGGTTTAGCTATAGAGGTTTTCAGAAGCCAAGAACACACCCATTTTCTAATCTAACACCACCACCGGACCATCAGTTTGCTGGTCAGTGACCACCTCTTCTTGTCTCAAGGGCCTGAACAAAACAGGCCAGACACCCTCCCCTCCTGCACAGGCTTACAAATTCCCTGCAGTCCTCTCTTCCCTTGCAGGAGATGTTCCTGCAGACATGGCAGCAGTGACATCCTCTCAGAGCGCAAACCATCTCTGCTTTGTCCTCCAGATCATTTCTATTGGTAATGAGCTCGGGGAAGAGCACTCCTATGTCTCCTCTCTTATTGCTGTGTATTTCAGCAGCCAGGGGAGCAGATAGCCTCAGCGGAAAGGACTATAATTAAAAATGTGGCCGTAGCCACATGGCCACAGCAATTTTGGACTATGCACCCGCTCAGGCTAATCAGAGCTCCAGCACTACTGCCACCATTTGGGCAGAGTAGAAAGTGTGACATCTAAAACCCAAAACTAAAGGTCACAGAGACACAGATATCTCTTTTTGGGTTTTTTGGGGGGGTAAAAGAGAGAATTCTGTTCTATCGCTGATCTCATGCGTGACACAGACCTTTATAATTTCACCCACCAATTGCTGCATTAAGCCGTATATTCCAGTTGAGCTGAAGCTTTTCTGTTAGGAATTCATTCAGCTGAAGCAAAGATGCACTGAACAATGGAGAATTCACCCTGAACATAGGTAAATTGCTTTAAAGTCAACTGCCCTAGTAAGAATGTGCATCTTATATTACGAATTTGTCCAGCTTCAAATACTCCTTAGTCTTTTTTGAGCACGGATCAGGTAAACTAAAGAGCCTAGATCAGAGCACTTCAGTACTGAGATTTCGATTGTTGCTTTGTTAGATTAACAAACAAGATTAAAACAAGAAAAGAAGTAGTCAAGGCTCACTCAGTCTTTTATCAATTTTCTCCCCATTTTAAGAAAATATAATGGTTAAGTGAAACTACCACACAAAGACCTCTGAACTTCTGGTTTAAGAGAAATCTTAAATTGGCACCTATTGGCAAAGAGTATTTGAAATGTGGCATCAAGAAACACCTTTTATAACCACAGGGACTTGAAGGGTGTTTATGCAGTAGCCAGCAGACCGTCCTGGCTCATTTCTTCTGCAAACGAACAGCATGACCATTAACGACCGCGGGTGCAGAGATGTGGACAGTCAGTTCATTAGCTGTACTTCCATACTCCAGGACCTGTCGGGGGTTCTGAGGCAAATGTGCAGCACAAGGTCAAGAGCTGGCAGAATGCCAGTGCAGCACAAACTGTGAATCAGAAGACGCTTCTCCACCTGAGACTCCAAAAGCATTTTAACATGCTCCATCTTTACTGCAAAGATCATTTTTTCAAATCCCACAACATGACAAATGAAGGTAGCTAGTAATAAGATATCCAAGACTCTATGTGTGTATCGATAACCACATTTTCTTCGGAATCAGAGAGAACCATTAAAAGGAAGCAGCACATTATTACCAGTCCACTCTCAGAGAAGTAACAATTTACATAAGAACCTAGAAATGTCATATATAGGTTATATCAGAACTTCAGCTAGCTGCATGTCCCCATATCTGACAGCTGAAAGATCCCAGGACAGTACCGAAGGGTCTTATTAAAAATCTGATGAGAAACAGCAGCTAGAACCAGACTGAACAGGGCAGACAGAAGAGAGAACTTCACGTCCCTCCTGCTAAAAATCTTGATTTTTTTTTTTGTAGTGGCGCCACTATTTTAAATACAGAAGAGTTGCTAGTCCAAGAACCACTGGACAGGCAAGCAAAGGTTTTATTTTAATTGCACGAGCAGACTGCACATAACTGTGCTCATCTGTGTGTGGAAAGCAAAGACAACCTGAATTCTGCCCTGAGCTGAGAAGGCAAAGACTTATTTACTTCTTTAAAAGGCATGGATATCTGTAAATGCACTAATGCGGCGACAAGGAGGAAAGACGCTGCCCAAGCAACTGGAGGAATTTGTTATGTCTACTGCGCAGAAAACTACCTTACAAAATGGGGTTTAACTAAGATTTTAAACAGCACAAATTAGCGCTATGGTGTATTAGTGCTAGCAAGACAGCAATATCAAAGTGAGTTTGAACCCATAAGTCTGCCCCATTGGGCACAGAATTAAGCTAGCACTGGGTGCCTTGGGAAAATCCCGTCCTGAAGTTTTCCATCACGTCTGAACTGAGCAGAGTCAAGAGAGGCTTTCCAGATAGCCAAGAGGTCCCTGGATAATTTCTTGGCTCATCTAAGCAGGTGCACAATTAATGCTCTAAAAACGCTCACTGCCCACCGTGCCTGGCTTTGTCAGCCACATTCCCTAAGACTGGGATGAGAAAAGAACACTCTTAATGTTAAAGTCAGGGCCTCAGTGAGTAGGTTTGAGACATGTTTTACATTAGAAAGAGACACAGTAATTAGAGTTAAACAATTCACTTATTTTGTGTGTGACATGCAAGGCCCAAAACTGATTCTGTTCAATGCTGAGCAGTTCCTCCTGGCTAACTGCACCATCCCAACTCTGTTTATTACCTTTTCTAGCCTCGAGGATACCCTGTTTTGCAACTGGTCAAACAAGCACCAGGGCTTCAGCCACCTGAGAGAGAAATTTGGTGCGTGAAAAGCTGCAATTCCCTGAAATGAGTATGTTGGAACGTTCAAAGCATGTATGACCTTCCCCTGTCAGGAACAGGAAGAACTGCACAACTGCTCGTACACTGCAGAGCATTTACATTACAGAAGAAAATTCCCAAGCCATTAGCAACCAGCCGCACATGTGGGCAGCAATAACTGGAACCCAGTGACAGATGATTCACTAACCTTGAGCGGCATCTCCTGCAGCGTGGTCCTCCAGGTTGGGAG